CTTGTTCATGCGGATAGGTTTAGGGAGTCACAAGGATTCAAAATAGTGTGTATTATTGTGTTCTATTAGACAGCTTTGTTGAATACTCCATTCTGTCAATCACGGCATCCTACCTACAGTTGATAATACTCTCATGTCTCTTGAGAGAGTAAGTTAAGCTAGCTCCTGCAGCTCTTACGCTAAGCTCAGTGCAAAGACTAGAAACAAGGAGAAACAGCAAGAGGGGCTCTGTTGAGACGTACAAATCTGCCTTCCAGCACCTCTAAAGCTCACCAATGAATATTTCATTTGTGGTTTTGCAAAGTGTAAACAAATACATATTGTATTTAATTAGTGAGTTTAGAGGTGGAGTAAAGCGAATTGTGATGTCTTTGGATACTTCAAGAGGTGTTTCCCCATGTTTCCTAGCTGTAGCTTCACATTTAGTGGACAGATATGTTTTGCTCACACAACTATCAGGAAGCATAGTTCCCAAAATGTCAAACTATTAATTTAACCATGTTCAGTGTGCCATTCTTTTAACCAATACTGATACTGAAAATACTACTGTTTATGGGGACCATTCTTTTTTATATAATATCAGGCTGAAGGAAACTTGCAGTTTGTGGATTTGTCTGATTAAATTGCATTACTTTGTGTTGCTGTTATTTTGTCCACCCTTTGTAGGTGGCTCTGGACTCTCCGCTTGAAGCCTGTTTGATTTACGTGAAGCACTATGAACCCTACCTGAAGGATCCAGTGGGCTACCCCAGAGTGATGGTGAGTGCTTTTCTTTCTCTCTCCACACTATCTGCAGCAGCACCTGAACGCCCCTCTCCAGCCTGTTCTAAATAACCAGCCACATAATGGACCTCTGCCTGCTGGATATCACTCTGAGTGCGCTGGATGCTTGCCCTTATCTCCTCCACTCTTTCAGCTTGTAGCTGATTACAGAGGCATTTTTCATCATTACAGCAACAATGAGCAAGGGCCAGTGCATCTTTGTCCCTCGATTAATTTGAGTAAGATGGATATCAGATTATTACAGTGACTGGCTCTGGGTAAGCTTTCCTTTTATTTCTGTTCTCCTGACCCTCCTCGACTGTGGGTTTTGTTGTGTTTTGTTTGGCATACACAACTCTGTCAATAGGTTATCCAAAGACCTTGTTGGGGCTGCAGTCCAGTCACAATTGAAAGTCATTGATCAGACAAACGAACCGCATGCTGAGAACTTGATAAGCTAATCCTGCTCCCAAAGCCCCCCATCAGCATCTCACTGGGTGGGAGGAGAGCGTGTGTGCAGCATGTGAAAGTATGTCTCGAGTAGCAGCCTTTGAAAAACGGTGTGTGTGTGTGTGTGTGTGTGTGTGTGTGTGTGTGTGTGTGTGTGTGTGTGTTTGTTTGTGTGTCTAGCATTCGCTCATTGGTGCTTCTGTGTACGTGTAAAGGAATACGAAGTTCGGTTTGTGCAGGGTTGCAATGTTTCTGCATTGACCAACCTCTAAATTCATTGATGATGATGAACGATATGTGGCAGATTACCGTGGCAGCACTAAAAAGACATTTAAACAAAAGACTGAAGGGCATATATGATTGGCTTTCAGGCCTTTGGCTCAACTCATTAGAATTCATCAAGACCAAGAATGAAAAGAAACCGTTCAGTGGTATAATTTGAGGGTTACAGTGTGAAACTGGCTTTCATGCGCCAAATATTTTAAGTTGAAGGTCAAGGCGGCCGTTGTGTGGGAGTAGTAATTTGTGCTGAGGGTGCAAATTTGTGTTTGAGAGAAGTGGTGAGATACTCCAGCACTGCACTTACGAACAAGTTTGAGAAAACTGAGACTTTATTTGAGTATTTGAGTAAATTTCACATTTCAGTTATCTTATGACTGCGCTTAATGATCGTTTGATGACGTTTTACACAACATGAGATCAGATAAAAGAGATAAAATGGACTTTTAGATCTACATAATTGGGCCCCTGAACCTCTGAACCATATACATCATAAAAATACATTAAAACATCTTATAAACTTTAACGATTTAACGCTTTACAGCAAGGGTTTTCAAAGTCTGAGATTGTAAGCCTCTCTTCAGAAAAAGCTTGGAAAAATGCACCCTTAGTTCAATTACTTAAATTCAATTCCTAGATGCATTAGATGGTTGTATCATTTATTATCCCATAGTCATCGAGCCAAGACACCGTAATATTGCTGTTAGTGACATTAATCTGACAACACTAAATACATAAAAAAGATAATTACTGTTGGTGCATTTATCAGTGTCTGTGCATCACTGTACGAAAAACTCAACAATTCCCCCCAAATCCTGGATCTCAACTCCCTTTATTACTTTATCACACATTTAAGTTCCTCGATCTGATCCTCTCGTGTTAACAAACGTAATATTTCTCACTTCCATTCACCAAGCCCCCCTGGGGAGGTCCTTCTCACACTTTGAAAACCTCTGCTGTAGAGGCTACAGAGCTAAGAACACATATTTTTAAATTGTACAGAGATTTTTTTAGTGATAGTACTTTTATTGAATACAGAAAGGTTCCAGTATTCTTCCACACTGGTGGGGCTACTTGTACGCAGTGAATTATTCTGTGGGTTTGTATTTGCACATTCAAAGCAGCCCTCTTCTGTATTCAGTGAGAGTAGTGCAGTGCAGGCCAGAGGAGAAGGAGGATGCTCTGTATTAATTGTCTTCTGGATTGTTGGTCAGGACCCAACAACAACACACAGACTGACAGTGATGGAGAGGAAAGTACTTCTGCACAGTGAAGCACTTTTCAATGGATACAGAATTAGCTTGATTATAGACTATAATATACTCACCTACTGTATTTAATTTGAGTATGTTGTAATATAATGATCAGGGTGATTAAAATGGTGAGGGACGACACTGGTAAATGTTCATTTTTGCAATAAATGATCGATTCACAAGTAATATATTTTGTGTTTTCAGATGCTACACTTGTTCTTCTATGGACTACCTCTGTTGGGTGCCTTTGTTTACGGTCTCCTCAAGCCTGGGTGCACATGGATGTCAGACTGGACTTTGTTTTTAGCAGGAGCCATGATCCAGGTAACACCATAAAGACAAACAGTCAATAAATATAACTGGCTCTGAATACTTTATTTAGGATACAGGTGCTGCATATTGAATCAGGTTGCGCTGACAGTTTTTTTGCATTGCATCAAATCATTAGGGTAATTGCAACCTATGATTAATTAAAGTTAAATTAAAGTAAAGTTTACTTTCATCAATAAGAGGTCTGACACGTGTCACTTCAATTAAACTCTTTGAAGTGAGCTCATATCCTGCTAATATGACCTGGTCCATATTTTTCCTTTGAAGCATATTTTTTCTGTAATTAACAAGCTGCTCTGACGGGAAGATTGGAGCCATGAACCAACAGGAAGAACTTGATTAAAGCCTTGTTTCAATGTTTATAAAAGGTGGCATATTTTCAGTTTTTAATTAATAGCCAAATACTTAAGTCATCCCTTGTGAAGTTGCCTATTTGTTGGCCTATATATTTTAACAGCAGACTAATGACAAGGGAATGTAAGTAAATATTTCCCCCCATTTCTCTCCAGGAACTGTGGAAGAAACATTCCATCAGTGTGAATAAAAACCAACTAGTGGAGTAATCATTGCAGATAGATAATATTCAGTATAAGTGTATGACAATGCAGTCTAACCTCTGCCTTGTTTGTGTCTCCTTCCAGTGCCAGTGGGCTCACATCGGGGGGTCTCTCCACCCTCGTACTACGGCTCAATTTCGTATCCCAAATGGGGTTTTCTGGTCCGTGCTGGTAGCTAACCTGCTTTATGCAGTCACTCCCATCCTGGTGGCCTTGAGGGTTTGCAATAACCCCTACTTCTTCCTGAAGATCGCTCCGTTTCCTGGGCAGACCGGTTTGCCAAACAGTGAAGAGAAAGATACCAAGATCAAAGACAAATAGTTATTCTTAATCTTATCTGACCTTTGGAGGTAAATACCTGTGTGATTATTCATGAAGAGTTGTTTTATTTCAAATGCCAAAATACAAGATTATTTTGCTCAAGATATTTGGGTTTTGTTTTTAATTGAATTGCTTGATTATAATAACGCTTTGATTCCTTATGTAATACATACTGTGAAACAGCTTATTGGTCAGTAAAGACGGTATGTAGCGTCCTAAACTAGACAATGAACACGGTAAACATTATACAAATGCTGTAAATCAGCGTGATACAGTAGCATTTTCATTGTTAGCATTTTGAGCCGGTATGGAAAGACTTAGTTTTGTTTGTTTTACTTCCAGCAAATAAGTGAGAAAAAGGAGAGGGAACAGCATTACATCACGTCTGTTATTAAACTCTTACAACCTTGTGCCTCAAGGACTCTAAGAAGCAGCAAATAGCTTGTTGACGGGTGAAAACACCATGCTGTTGAGGTTTTACATCTTGTATGTTGGATGGGTCCTTCAGAAAGTGGGCAGATTGCCCCATAACAGAAACATCAAGGCAATTGAAAGAATATATATATACAGCAGCGTATGATGAACACAAATCTAAAAATGTGCACACAGAGTACTAAAAGCCAATGGCAGGAATTGTATTTCCAAGGTTAGTGCTCACTGTTCTGTATAATATTATATGACAATGCGAGTGTAAATCAGGGGTTTCAGTTTTTACACTCTTTGCAAGTAAAGCTGTTCTTTTCGAATACATATTTAACACATCTAACCCGACATTGGAACCATTTCCGTTTATGATTTATAATTTAGACCTTTTCTCAGAGACACTGTTCAGAAATGCTAAGTTTCCTTTTTACACTTGTTCCTACACCTCAGCTCTATTCAGTTCCACAATAACACAAACGAAATGCACATGATTGAGTTTGTACTTTGATGGGCAGTGGATGGGTATATACCATATGATATACAGCCATGAAGGTAACAGAATAAACCACAAAGCCTGAACGACATGAACTTGAGGTGAGCTGAAAAATAATACTGCAAATCATCCTTTGTGTGTTCAACCCAAAAGGAAAGCATGTTTCCTTTGCTGAAGTTTGTAAGCATTCAAAATGAGTAATTGGATGTGACTCTTTCTGTTACCTGCATTGAAATACTTCAACACAGAAGGAAATAACAAGGTCTTTATATTTCAGTGTGTGTAGCTGTAATAGAGAGGAAACCAAAACAGAAGAAGATTTAGCAATAGCAAAAAGTTATATGAAGTCTGGGAAAAATTACAGATCGAATATGTTTAACAGTAAACATGTAACAATTCATTTACAAGCTAAACTAGGCTAGGTTAATGACTAATTGATCGCTTTCAATGTATCAATTTATTATAGCATCCTGACTTGGACAGCACTCTGATATGTTTCATCTTCACCATGCATTATTATACTAGACTAGTTTTCTTACAAGGACAATTAAGTCAAGTTGTTGGCCCTTCACTCTAAGTTTGGAGGGTTTGCCATGTTGTTTGGTGCAGAAATTATGAAAACGTGTATATTGCTTATGTTTTGGATATATTGCAGAATGTCAGCCCACACACGCATGAAATAGAAATGATGGGGGTTTGAGTCTGTAGGAGGGGGACTTGATAAATACACAATATGCTTGTTATTTCTGTTGTCTGGAGCCGCTACAGATCATTACTCACAGCTGAGTGGCAAGGATGAGCCAACATGTGCCGCAAAAGGTAAGGTATACTTCAACAGCGGCTCTTGTCACTCTCTCACTCTGTTGAACACATTGCCGCTGTCTGCTGCCAGCCTATCTCGCTTTAAAAATACAGCTTTATTTTTCTCTAAGTGGGAAAATAAGATGTGCCTCCGCCATTCTTCATTCTGTCTGATGGTGTGTGCCGAAATTGTGTTTCATCACTTCACGATTTAAATTCCTTTATCCTGTTTGTTTCTTTTCTGCTGAGTGAGGCTGCTTTGTGCTCGCTCTGTGTGGGAGGCCCAGTAAAGGAGGCTGCTGTGGCTCTCATCATTGACTTTCACAAAGACATCAAATGATTGAGGTTTTTGTTTGCTTAAACAAACACATTGAACCAACCAGCAGGCTTTTTGTACTAAGTTTTAGAAGCCATGTATAAATCAAACAGTTTAACTCAACATTTACTGGATAAATCCTCTTAAAGCAATACTCTTGAACGTTTCAACTGAGTGAATGTCTTTTAAGTCACCATCAATTGCTGAATGAGAAAACACAATGGCGATTGAGCCTATGGCCTACTAATGAAGGCTTTATTTTTGCAAAACACTGCAACCAAAAACCCACCTGCTAAAACGGCTTATCTGCAATGGTGGTGCCGAAAAGCACACAGAGATCTTTGAACTTCAACCTTTGACTAACGATGTAATATCATCATGTGAATCCAGCCTGTCCTCCTACAAAAAACGACCAAATAGGTCGATTGTTTAAGCAGTTTAGATTACGACCCATAGCCGCGTTCTAAAGTGTAGCACCTCTAGTGGTCGTGTAAGAAACAACATGCTCCCGTTTATTCGTTTATTCACAAATAAGCTTTTTAAGGCAAAAGGACTGGGTCTCTAAAGGTTATTTGAAACAAAAGGAGAATTTGCTGAAACTGTAGGTAATTGGTGAGTGGTAATGATTACAGGGTATTTGTTTAATGTAGTCAAATGATTTTACACCATAAGTTAAGAGGACATAATGCGGTAGTAGGGGAATTATACTAAGTACCAGGATGTATTGTGAAGTGTTAACACATTTTATTTTTAAATGGTTAAATAAAAGAAAGACAGCAGAGACAATTGTGAATACTGTGAGGACTCTTCCCAGTGTGAAACCTGACAATGACTGACAAAATAAAACAACAGATTTTCAACAGACAATGTAATGTGGGCCGCCAAGCCTTTTCAATTACATGCTAATGCTAATGCTTTGGATGCATTTTAGTCATTTAAATGAACACACAGTGTTTTCTTGACAGGGATAAAGGAGGTTATTTACACGGTTAGATAACGCTTTATAAAACAGCATTGTAACCATTGTCTCCACCCCTAGCCCATCAATAACAGCGGCCCACTCATAAGTAATTATCCAGCGCACTTCGCTGAGCAATAGGCCAACAGACAGGGAGAGGCAGACTCATCTAATTCACTCTCCCTCAGCAGCTTTTCATGCTGAAGTGTGCCATTGCCCCTGCTTGCACATGCTAGCAATGCATTCTCCGTGTGTGACAGAGGCTTTAAATCAAATGTGGCCGCTCCGAATAGCTCTTTAATCCCATAATGGGAGTCACAAGGGGATCTCTGCTGCAGATGCCTGCTCGGCTGTGCAGACGGGCTCCTGAGAGCTGTGGCTCTGAAAAATACAACTAAACAACTCACGCTGCAGTGAAGGGAGAGGTAGCGCTTTATCATGAAATGTCTTTTGAATAAATGGTTTTATCAATGCATTACATTGTTTCATTTAAAGTATTAAGGCACTACATGTCATTAAGTCCTGTAGGTCCGGGCTAATAAATGGATAGTATATTTTTAATCCATCTAGAAACCAGGTAATGTATGAGCTTCAAAGTGTAAGTATAAAGATTAAGGCAGATGCTGTTTGCACCCGGGTGACTACAGTGGATAATGGCAGCCCACTGCTCCTAACACTATGGGTCAAATGCAGAGAAACCGTTTAGTTACTAGTACCTGTACTATGTAATGACAATAAAGTTGAATCATCTTCAATCTTCAATGCTAGTAGCACCCGGGGTGTACTGTTAAAAAAGCAGTCTTTTAAGCCACTCTTGGGTGATATAGTCTCAAAACTGGAGATTCTGGTTGCTCTCCAGTATTTGGCTCATTCTAATCCACATTCCTCTTTCACTGAACACATGTGGCTGAAAGGCTGGATTCAAAACTGTGAGGTGTCCTAGAAAATTGTCCATTGCTGGATTTGAACCCCGCTCCTCCGTACATGGACCAGGCCCTGTGTCCAGCTCAACCAAGTGAGTGGTCTTTGTTTGTTTTGTTTGTGAATATGCAACACAATATTTAAAAAAACAACAACTGGAATGACAAGGCTCCTGATTTATGATTACATTTTTTTTTTACAATATACGTTTTAACTGAGTACAAAAGATGCATCTTGCTTAATACACTTGTTTAATTTGCTTACTTAAGGTTAACAAAATGCATAGACAAAACAAAGGGTGTGGTTGTGGTGGGGGTGTCAAAAGTGGCCATTTTAGCCCATTTTAGGACCCCTGACTCTTCAGCCATGTTTGGTAGCAGGTGGGTGCCATTTAAGTGTAAATGCACCAATCGGCTCTAGTTGTACAGGATTCAAGCTCTATGCAGCCAGTATATTTAATTGTTACACACAAGGTAAATGCAGCGTTCCTTCAGTAGGCCTTGAACAAATGTTTCACACTGAACAACTTGAAGCTACATTCATTGATTTTTGCCTAACATTACCAGCTCTGCACATCCATGAATCTCCAGGGACAAACTGAACTCTAGCACATTTATACTGGACACTTTAATGCACCAATGCAACAACACTACATTATTGATCCCTACCTTTAGCGATCCTTCTTCTTGATTTTGTTTGGACATCTGGGCTTTTAAATCCTCAAAATCCAGCCTTCTGAATCACTGCTGATGGACATCTCTTCCCTGTGGTTGTTCCCAGTTCAATTTCTGTGCATCTCATTGGAGAAAATTACCTCCCTCTGAGGTAACAGGTAATCTTAGAAAATCCTCAGTGCAACAACAATATTAGAAGGAAGTTGCCTGAAGGGTATTCCTCAACTAATAATAAATGTGCAGGAGGATGATCTTTCTCTGCTCTGAGGTCTCTTAATGGAAGCAACTCTTCTGCAAAAGCCTTGTCTAAATCCAATGAACACGCTATTAACACATCAATTCCACTGTTAAAGTCTTTGGAGGCATCCAGCTGCTTGTTATAGCCTGAAAGCAAGTTGTCAATACCATTGACCTAGAAATTCTCACTTCGACAAAGCTTTGCCTAATTGTCAACAGTTTCCCTGCTCTTTACTTTGGTC